TTGAGAGATTCGGAGAGAGGATAGCGTGTGGAACTGGAACCAAGACGTCTAAAATGCAGTTAGAATGAGTTAAAGGGGCATGCTGGCGAGAAGGAATGTGTTATACTGCATATATAGAGGAAGATAATTGGCATGTGGATAACTGAAAACTTGGAAATTAGATAAAGGAATGAGATGAAAGAGGAGAGGCGGAGATAAAAATCTGTGACAGAAGCTTTGTCAGTAAAGGTGTCTAGCTAATAATACGACAAAAATGTAGTAATGAACTTCAAGCGGGTTGGGGGGAAGGGGGCTATCGAGGGAGAAAAGAAAGTGGAGGAGGACTAGGAAGAACATGAAGAGTTACATGTAATAGAGGGTTTTATGTTTAAGTGGGGAGCAGGGGGGGGGGGGGTGATGGAATAGTGTGTGACGGCCACGTCGTGACATCTGTCTTCCTCCCCGGCCGCAGAGCATCCTTTCTCTCGCCTTGGGTGGGAGCGCACATACCTGTTCCGTGGTGTAACAGAGGATGCCCGGGATTTTAATGACTGTCATTAGGCAAACATTAATCACTGGTAGGCGAAACTGGAACGTATTATTTAATGATACCTGAGGCAGAGGATGTTGTCACGTGTGTGATGTATGTTTCAATTTGTAGATAGATGTACACACACACACACACACACACACACACACACACACACACACACACACACACACACACACACCACACACATATATATTATATATATTATTCATAATACAACATATCTACATATATGCATATATATGTAGATTTAGATGTATACATGTATGTATGTGCATACATAGATACGTATTATATATATATATATATATATTATATATATATATATATATATATATGTATATATATGTGTGTGTTGTGTGTGTGTGTGTGTGTGTGTGTGGTGTGTGTAATAGATAGATAGATTATAGGCATACATATAGGTAAGTGTGATTGCGTTGTTTATTTATGTATATGTGTATGTGTGTGTATGTATGTATGTATGTATGTATATATATAATATATATTATATATTATATATTATATTATATTATTTATTTATTTACTTATTTATTTGTGGATATGGATATATGTGTATGTATATATATACTATATATATATTGTTTGTGTGATATTATGTTTATATATGTAGGTATGTATGTATGAATTTATAAGTTTAAGCGTATATATGTATATTCATAGCCAGAGGCTGCGCATACGTGCAGCCATGCATAATTCCATTTTTTCACTCGTTTGTGTGCGTTTTAAATATATAGTTATGTGCCGCACCCCCCTCCCCCCTGTTAGAGTGAGTCTGCGGCGGAGGGCACGGGCGCCGCCTGGTCGTCCGGGGAGGGATCACATGCGTCGGGGCGGCGTCCGCTGAATTGTGTTGCGGGACAATACACGGCGGGAGTACAGCCCCGTCGATGCTTGGGATCTCTTCTCGAAATAGCAGGTCTATTTTTAGGGATTTCTCCGGTCTGGGACTAATGTTTTGTTTTGGAAGGCATGGTTGGAAAATGGCCGGTGCTCTGTCATGCTTTTAGAGGCCATGAGCGAAATTTGAAGTGGTGTCTCTGATCTGTGTGATGATCAGAACGCATCACGTCGAGCGCTGCGATGTTTACATATTTGGGAGGGAGGCGAGTTGCAAGTAGTGTGGAAATGTTCTGGCGTCAGAGTGCGCAATGTCTCGGAATTTATATAATAATGTTAGTTTACCTTGTAGCCTTTTTCTCTCAGGACTTGGATGCCGATACATTTTCCGCGCCGACGGGCACGGAAAGGGGGGTATGTGAAGGAAGAGAAAACCGTATTTCATTGCTCTAACTCCGTATTTGTTTCCTGGAAGGTGTAAAGGGCGCCGTGAGATCCCGCCATGTGCGGACAGGACACGCACACACACGGCCAGCGGGGATCGGCGCCCCCTTCGCTCGCCTGTCCCTAACACCTCGCATTAAGTACCACGTCTGTTGTGTCGTGTGGCCGCGCCTTGCACCCCGGGGGCCGGGTTGTAGATGCCCTTCGAGCTGCATGTCTTGAGTGTGGTGTGATCTGCCTATGGCTTCCTAGTTTAGTATATTATTGCACTAGGCACATATACATAGTACATACATGTATACATGAATACATGCATGTATAAGTACATATATACATAAGTATGTATAGACACACATATATATACATATACAAACATGCATATATGTATGTATTCGCTTATACATATATTCATGACTTCATGCATGCATACACACACATGCATACATACGTATATACATACATACATACGTACGTACACATACATCACTACATACATGCATACCCATGTATACACGTACATGCATATATACATTCATATATATAACATTCATACATACATGGATAACTACAGACACATAGATACATACATAAATGCATATACATGCATGTGAATGCTTACATACTTTCATACTTACAGACCACAAATGTATGCATGCATACACATGTATGCACGTGTATGCTTGTTTCTATTCATCTCTCTCTTTCTCTCTTCTCCTC